GTTTGTCGACGGTGGTGCCAGAAACCACAAGTCGCCGTCTCTACTAGGGTTTGTAGAGCCGTTGCTGGTTACCGGTGCCGGAAGCTAGGGTTTTGCGACGAGAAAAAGAATAGAAATAGGGAGGAGATACATAGGGCTATCATGATGAAGTAGGAGGGTCGAGAGGGTGGTTGAAGCGGTTGGAGTTTATCCGGTCGGTGGTTCCGACGAGCTCTTTCTTGTCTGAAACTCCTTCACCAGGGTTGTTTACGATCTAAGATAGAGCAGCAACGATCGGGGGTGTTGAGGAGGTTGTCATTGACAGAAGAGGGGCTGAGGAGGGCTGACGATGTTTGTGAAGGAGGGTTTTGTGACGAGAAGAAGAATAGAAAGAGGGAGGAGATACCTGGGGCTATCTTGGCCTCGTCGGAGATAAACACACACACATACGAGAGAGAGAGAGAGTGAGAGAGAGACCTTTTTTAATTAGTTAGTTAAATAAATAAATAAGTATTTAGATTTTAAAAAATGAAAGAAATGAAAAATAAATAACCCAAGGGTATTACAGTCATTTCACTATTCAGAGGGACCAAAAACACAATAAAACTAACTCAAAAGGACCACGAAGTCAAAAAAGTCGGGGTTTGAACTAAAACCCCAAAAAAATGCATACCACAGGGAAATTTTTGCAATTTTGTCTAAAATAAAATTACACAAGGATTACAACAAACCTAGAATATAGAAAACTTTTATTAAATTTCAAAAGATTTCCCAATGATTACATCTTTTTTATTTGTTTTATGAATTAACAAAAAAAAAATCCTCTTTTTCACCTTCATAAAGGGTGTATCAAATGATGGAAGACTGGATGCGACTAAACTTTTTGCAATTAGGGTTCGATGGTTTGTTGATTGCATGCGATGATTTCGTATGGTATGCATGATATCATTAGTTGAATCTATCAGCGTTCTAAATTGGGCTTGATTTACTACAGTTTAAAGTTGGTTCAGACTTTTGTTCGTTCATCTAGGGTTCGTGTCTTCATGATCTTCTTCATTATATGAAATGATTCATCCATGTGGTTTGACTCATTAGTTTGTTTGTTAACTTAGTTTGTTTGTTAACTTTTTCACATAAGGCTTTTTTGTGGGTCTGATTGCATATTGTTTAAAGTTTTAGCTTTTGCAATTAGGGTTTGAAACTTTTATGATTCAAATTGACAAGTGGATCATAAAGGGTTCAAACTCAATTGTGTTTGAACTCGATAATTACTATTTGTACACTGAAAAACTATAATGCATAGAAATTTGAAAAGAATCAACTCGATATGGATACACTTGTTTCCTCATTTCAAATCCAAAATCCAAACAACAATGAGTTCTTTATATACCCTTTCATTACTTACAAATCTTCATCTGAATCACTCGAACTGCTGCTACTAATGAAATTCACCGGCAAAACCGGAAACTTCACCGACGGCCGGTTAGGCGATGTCGGCATTGGCGGCACCACCACCGTCGCCGCCGCCTCTCCACCACCACCACTTCTCCTCTTCTGCAACTTTATAGCAATATCAACACAAGCCTTATCCACCATTTCAAGAAAAGCTTTCACAATCCCAAACAACTGAAACTGCTTCCTTCCTTTATCTTTGGAAGCCCCAACTTGATAATACTCATTCGTCTTCTTCACAACCCTAATAACCCTTTCCTCTTCTTCACCCAACTCGTGAATTTCCCGTTCTGCCCTTTCAACAAACTTCTCCATCTCCCTCACAAAACCCCGCCCACCGTCACCACCACCACCACATTCCTCCACCGCTTTCATGATTTCAGTCAAACGATCGGTCAACCCGGAACATGATTTCGAAAGGGCATCGTAGTCAATTCCCGCAGCTTTCTTCACATTACAAAATTCCGAACTTACCCCTCCCACAATCGGCAATCCAAGCATTATATAATCTTTTCCTCTCGATGTATCACAGTTTAAACTTACAGTACTATTTCTTAAGCTATGATTTCGATTAATCATACACCGTTTCCCTTCCAATCTCACAACTTCTTCAACAACAAAATGAAGCAAACTTGTCTTTCCATCACTGCTTTTAACATCAGATAATTTCAATAAAGAATTCAAATTGAAAGCTTGAGCATTTCCTCTTGAAGTTCCCGCATTCATTCGATTTCCCGCTTTCAAAATCGCCTCCAATAACTTCACAAAAAGCCCACGATTTCTAAGCTCGTTACATGCTTTTTCAAGTGTCTGTAACGTGTTCTTGATGTGTGACACTTCCGAATCATAATTTAACTTGAAAAACATCGCATTAAATCGAGTAAAAGCAGAAGGAACAGCTCTTAAGATATGGTAAAGAAACGATTCAGCGTCTGCTAGCCTTGTGATGTCATGATCATAGTTAAGAATCAGTTGTTCTTCTTCTTTTGTGGGGGTAATTCGAGTGAGCTTTTCAAGGGTATTTATGTCAATTCCTTTCCCTTCAAGGAGACAATCGATGATTTCTTTTCGGGACACGGTTAACGATCGGAGAATTATCGCGATGTTTTGTGATTTTCGGGTGTCCAGGAGGAAAACTTGCGAGGGTGGGCCGGATTTTTTTTCGGATTTCGGGGTCGGGGAATTGGTGGGGTCGCCACGTGGCGATTTTTTGTTGGCTGCTACGGTTCCGAATAGAGCTTCCATTAGATCACCATTAAACCTGAATTGCATTGTTATATTGTATTGTTTTGTAAGTGTTTGTGTACAAGTGTATGTGCATAAGGTACAAGTCTAGCAAAAAGATTGAAAATTTACCTGAAAGAACCATTTCCCAGTTTGTCCCACGCGGTGGGGTGTTCTACGTTTGTGTTGACTTTGTCCCAATGCAGTGGTTTAAGTTTGACCTGTGATGGTGGTGGAGGTGGGGTTGATGAAGAAGTCAAAGTCAAACCACCAGTTTTAGGCTTAGGTGGCGGTGGTGGTGGTGGTGGCAGCACTAGTGGCGGTGGTGGTGGAGGTGTAGGCGGTGTTGGTGGCGGGGAGCGTGATGACAGTTGAGTTTTCAAGATTTGTTGATTTGCAGGTGGAAGAGAATTCTGAATTTGAATTTCATCTACCTGTGGCCAAACATGAGAAGCTGAAGATTTTCCTCTAAGTAATGGAATTTCATGAATTTGAATGTTTGACTTTCTTCTGCCATGGTCAACTGTCATCATTTTCTTTTCTTCTTCTTTCTCGTTGATTCTTGGAAGTTCTTTCTTGAAGATTGTTCTTTTAGGTTCACCATCTTCTAGATTCTTCCAATAAAGCACATCTAATCCTTCTTCATCAACAATCACACCTTTAACCCCTTCAAGTCTTGTGAAATGATTCATCAATGAAACAACCGGATTCTGGGGGTTGCTGTTATCATTGCCACCTGGAATTTCTTTTTCTTTTTCTTTTTCTTTATCTTTCCGGTAGCGTTTATATTTCACCAGTAGTAAGAATAACAAAGCTGATAAAACAAGAGTACTTGCTGCAGTTGCTGCAACTGCTGTAGCAACGGTTTTGCTGGTTGATTTTGATGGCGGGGTAGGGGTGGTTGGGGTGGGGGTGGTGGTGGGAGGAGTATCTGTAGGTGAAGTTTGCGGTGGTGGAAGAGGAGGAGGTGGTGGAGGTGGAGGTGGAGGAGGAAGAGGGAAAGGGTAAAACACCTGAATGTTTTGAGGAGTATGCTGGGAATATGATTGGGGTATGAAAGAAGATGAAATTAAGAAGAAAAAAGATAACAATGGCAGGAATCGGATTGTTGCTGCCATTGAAATGCAGAAAGAGGGAGGTTTTAGGAGGAAGAAGATGAAGAAGAAGATTGGAGGATTCTTGATTACTGTTTTTGTTTTGGATTAGAGCATTTTGGATTTGGTGTTTTTTCCTGTTTGGTTTATTTGCTGACACTTTCAAAGAAAGCAGTTGTGCAATTTCCATTTGTTTTTCGATGTGTAATTGCTTAAATTGGTTGGATGGCTACTTCCCGGGCATTTTTGTCAAAATGACTGAAATACCCTTTTATATTTCCAACTGCTAAATGACTGAAAGTATCCTTTTCAACTACTTATCTCATGGGGTTGAGTGTTGGGATGGAAATAAGTCGAATTGAATTGGTGGTTTTGCCCAAGTAACCTATTTCCTTTTTCATGGAAATGGCTAAAATACCCTTGTTCTTGTGAACTTTTCTTGAGTTGGTAGCAATATTTCTCTTGTTTGAATTGTGAAAGTGAAAAGTAAAAAGTTGAAAAGGGCATTTTCGTAATTTTGAGGGAATATTGCTTAGTTATTTATGGGTCTAGGTTTGAATTGGTATAACTACAAAACTACCAATTAGGCATAATCTAATCTATTAACATTGTTGGCGATAATAAACAATGGGAAAATTGTCCCTCTCGGATTCTCTCTGGAAAATTGTTTAAAAAGTCAGAAGGTAGAAGAAATAGTCAAAAATTAGATGTACCTCATCTCATAATAAATAAAATCAACTTTAATCTTTTATATATTTTTTTTGTTTTCTCCATCTTTCCTCAATTTGCTACTTGATTTTATATTACGTACTAAATATAAAAATAACATCATGAGCTATATGGACACTATCTAGACGTAATTTGTTTAGCAGTCGTCCAAATATTGTTTTAGGATTCGTATTATAACATATACATGTCTTATTTTATTCAAATAATGAAGTTTTGAATTTTTTTAGAATTTTTACATAATGATAGGTCACTAAAAGGTAGATTTGTACTTGGAAAATGGGTTGGGTTGATTGTATTAGATAAAGGGGTTGTGAAGAAATCACACTACGAACGAAGTGGTTCACCTAAAATACATTTGATGACCCAAATTGACCAACTACACAAAGTCCTTGACTCCATCACCCTAGTACACTTACGAGTTGTGTGGGACCTTTTGATTGAAATTTGGACCTATATTTTAGCTTATTTAAGTTTTAGATTGCTCTACATGTAAATATTTGTTTGGATAACAATCAATGAAAGTCAATATGTTCTCGAATTATATTCAAGGTTTTTTATGACCAACAATTGTGAACATGAGACTTGTATCAACATCATGCAACCACTGAGTGGAGTTTTCTTTTTTAAAGAAGAGAAGAAAAAATGTCACAATGAAAGTCAATAAAGAAGTAAACCTAAAGTTATGTCATTTTTCGAGCTTTTTGATATTCATGTCGATAACGTTTTTCCTCTTTAAGGGCCTTGAGTAGTAAACTCCATATTGTCTAAAAAGAATCCTGAATATCGCTAATTCGCTTTTCATTTATTATTTTTCATTTTTTTTTGTTGTGAATCGACCATTATATCGATTCTTTTCATGAAAAAGAGCAACCTAGTCAATGAATATTACTGGTTGTTATGGGAATGGAGTTTAATGTAAGTTCTTTTCCTCATGTCTATATATGTTAATCCATAATCAACCAAAGTTTCAAAAACTTATCCATTTTTGTATTCCAGGCTCTAGATAGGCAGTGTGCATTCTTCTCTCGGCTCTAGAACAGAAATCGGAGAAGTTAGTCTTTCTTCTTTGGCAAAGGCGCTTTAGACCTCCCAAGGAAGAAAGAACAAAAGAACTAGAACTTGAATCTCTGGGAGGGGCGAAGCAAGTCGTAATAGAGGATGCACTTCATGGACAAACTTGGACTGAAGATGACATTTTTGATCGCCTAGATTAAACCTATCAACTTCTGTATAGAAAAATCAAATAATATAAACATTAAAAATATAAAATATAACATGTAAAAACACTAAAATAATTATCTATAAACAACTACCATTATTTGTGTATTTTATCCCAATCTTGTTTAAAATCGAATTTGTCACTTGTGCTACTCCAAAACCTGGGTACAAAATAAAATTTCTAACAATCTTAGGAGTCAAAGAATTCTTAAACGGACTCCCACCCCCCAATACACACAAAAAGACCATTAGTGCTAAAACCGATTTTGAAGCCATTGTTGAGACAATAATGACGAACCAATCTCAAGCCATCAAAAAAAGAATCGGAAGTTTATGATTATTCACTTCCCAACAATTTAAAATATTAAATGTTGGCAAATTGTCTTCTAACATTTTCTTCAAGTACTTTTTTAACTCGCCCATTTATTCAACTACGTTTGTTTTTATTAGAAAACCGCTACCAACTCGAGAATACCGAACACCAAAATAAGTGAAAAAATGATACCAAGTACCGAAGCGAACTGACATCACTGGTACCGTCGTACCGGTACTGATTTTTGGTACTAGCACCGATGTGAATGGTACCGAATCCTGAATTTCATGATTTTAGAGTACCGAGTATCATACTATATTAACATAAAATGTACTGGTACTATTTCAGGTCTGGAATTTCGGTAGTCTTGCTCACCCCTAGTTTTCATCTTTTCTATTAGTTTATATCTCAATGAGGGTTATGGTGTCGTAACAGTCGTGTTTTGGCGTTTCCCTAAAATCAAAGATGAAGTAGTAGACTCACTTGTACTAGAAGTAGAACTTGAAGAATGAATTCTAATATAATCATTATATAATTCATATACAAAATTTGTAATACATTTCTTTTCTCAACTCCACCATTTTTTCTCCGTAATGGCCCTCGAGGAATATAGTCAAATACTTTACTTTGTTCCTCGGGTCAAGAATCAAAAAAAGTAGAACAATATATCCATTTTTTCTATATCGCCAAACTACTTATCAAACTTTACTTTCATTGACATTTCAATGTCATGAAGACTAGCATTGGAAATTAACATCATCCAAGAGCATACAAATGGTATAAATATCTTAAATGCACATGTTTGATGTCACATAAAGTGTCAAAATTGATGGGGTTTACATGCATCAATGCGGATAAATCCTTAACACTTAAGGGTGCACGCAACCTAAAGATCTATGTCATAACACTATTGACGTAACATTCTATTGAACAACAAGAAGCCTATGAACCCTAGGTATCTTCGAATTTTGACAAACAAGATAGAAATTACATACCTTTTTGATTGTTGTAATAAACAATCAAGAATCCTTTCTTCTTTGATTTTGGAAGCTAGCACCACAAGTGTCGTGCCTCTAATGGTTCACACTCAAACCCTAACAACCAAGGAACTTGAAGAGAGAGAGAGAGAGAGAGAGAGAGAGAGAGAAAGAGAGGAGAGAGGAGGAATTTTAGCCTAACCATTCTCTAGAAGTCATGGCCAAAATTAGGATACAAAGGGGTCTTTATATAGTGTCACAAGGAAACCCTAGATAACCCTAAAAGGAATAAAATAATATTATTTCCTTCTGGTAATTATCAAGTTTCCTAATTATCCTCCAAAGATAATTCTAGAATCCTAAAACCCTACAAAAACCGTCCAAGGCTTCTAGGAATGTTCTAGAATGCCTGTTCCTCAATTATTGAATAATTACACTTTAACCCATGTACTTTTAATTAATCCAATTAATTCCAAAATTAATTCCAATTACTTTTTGATTAATTCTTAATTAAATAACAATATGTCTAATTAATATATTATTCTCATAATATATTAACAAATCATTTTGATTACTAATTAATTTATTAGTCATATAATAAGTTAATAAATTAGTCTCTCTCACTCTTTCTCTCTCTCTCTCTCTCTCTCTCTAAAAGTTATCATATTCAATTACTAGGTTTGAGGGAAACCCAAAAGGACTGTGTTACTATCAATTCAAGTTTATACCAATTATAGTTATGGACTTAGACACCCAATCCAACAGTCTCCTACTTGGATATGTCTGTAACTATAATTGCCAGTATAACTTCCAAACTGATCAGCAAATTGTAGCTTCCAAAAGCCGATGTCGAACTCTGACCCAGTCAGTTACGTTTCCTAAGAAAAGTGATCAAATATCCCTCCCTTCTACAAGATATCGTACGGACATGAGACATGGGTTATAATCAATCTAATTGTCTAAGATTTTGTTTCCCGATTTCTGATTTGTGATGACAACATAAGACTTCTAATCGAACACATATATTAGTTTTGGCTAGACCTAGCACTTATAAGTCAACACCAAATCACCGATGGGCCAAAATATATCGCTTTTCCCGTTAGGAAAAAAAGGAACGAATAAACTTTGACTTATATGCTTGAACTATTTACTCATAAAATCATGCATAATAATACATTTTATAACATCGAGTTACCGATGCGTTTACGTATTATCATTGCACAACTGACTTGGAAACCACAACTCATATATCTCCGTTTTTAAGAATATAAGATATTATCGTGTCAGAATTACTCGTGATAAAATCCATGAACTAATTCTCTGAGCGTGGGTTTATCCAATACTCAAAATCCTCATTTTCTAAGTACTCATGAACATTATAGCAACCATTGAAATGTCTAATATCCATAGACAATCTACAATTCAATTCATAACAACCATAATTCACTACTTACTTCCAAAAGTATGAGCGACTGGGGAATTTCGAATAATCAAATTATTCAGGAAGTAAAACATGCAAAGTGAAACACAATAATAACCTAATTATCTATGGTCTCAAAACTATTGAATATAAATAAAACTATTATTATTTAATCAACATAATAATTAAGACTTTATTCATTGTATAATGTTTCGAGTAATCAACTAAACACTTGAATTAAACATCAGTCATTCCATGTTATGAACATGCATACTATGTTTCTCTATGGTCCTTCCTTTGTGAACAAATCGACTGGATACTATTCCAATGATGCTCAATTCACAATTCTAAATTCTTGTCACTACTTAAAATGTGTTAGAATTCCAACCTTACATGCATTTTCCTTTTGTGATGTCGAGGCTTCAAAGTCACATAGACTTAGCCAACGATATTACAGAATGTTCCATTGGTACTTTGTTACTAAAAACAATTCCATGGTAATGAAGTCTCAAATTCAA